CCTTAATCTATAAATAATTTTTAGCCAAAATTTGCTTAGAAACTTTTTACTATTTGTACCACTGTATTAAACTGTTCTGTCTTTAAAATTATGTTCAAAATTGTTATTTGCATTGTAACTAAGGTTTTGCACAAATTATGATATTATTATTTTAATATTGTAGTTATCAGTAATAGCACTTGCAGTATCAAAATAATAACAGTATTACTTTTCATCTTACAACATATTTAATAAATTTGGTATTTAGATTAGTGGTTAAGACCCCAACTAAAAATTATAATTAAACTTTATTATTCTTGTAATACATGACCAGAGTATTAAAAACTCAAATAAGTTTTATTAAAATTAAGTTTTGATTTTATTTTACATTCTTGTTTAACTTTACTTTTGTTTATTTTTTTTGCATTTTTATTTTTTAGTTATATTTTTGCCTTATCTGTATTTGTTTATTTATTTATTGTCAGTTTGCTTTTTTGTCCTTAATAATTTATTTATTGTTGTTATTTTGTAAAAATTAAATGATTATAAATAAAATAAAATCTGAAATTAAAACTAGTTTTTATGTTTTTTGAAATGAAAGTCTTTAAAACAAAATGGCCTTGATTTAGAGTAATATAAAGGTAATTTACATTTAGTGCATCACAAATTACTTTGTGTAGGATTATTAAAATTAAATTTTTTTTATAATATTATAATAAATAACAACAATTTACACAAGCTTTTCTTTTCTTACTTTATTCAATTAAATGAACTCTATCTAAGAAATAGGTTAATAGCAACTTAAAATATTTTGTAATATAAACAATTTGTTTTCTTTTTTATAATGCCTAAGATGATATATAATCAGGTGGTATTTTATTTTTATTATTATTTCAGGTATTTGTAATTAAGTTCTATATTAAACTAATTCTAAATTCTTTGATTGAGATTTTTGTATTAGTAATCTTATAATCATAGTATTCAAGATTCAAAAAAATAAAAAGAGCTATATATGCCTAACTGTTAGTTGACAATTGTAATATTCATGAAGTTGATTGATAATGTCAATACCTCTTATATAATAGTTATAATTATCAATTATTCATAAAATTATTAATTCTTTCTAATAGCATCTTCAAAAATACTATACACTATACTTGTATTAAAATTAGTTTTATGTAATTATTACCAGTTATAAATAATTTTATAATTATTTTTAGATATTTTATAAATTATTAGTAGCATAGTTACTAAACAATTATTAATCTATAAAATAGACAAAATATTACTAACTACGTTATTTATAAATGTATTTCATTCTAAAGATAATTCTCTATTCTTTAATTCTTTAGAAAATCTAGCAGAATTAATATGAGCTTTGTCACAAGTATCAATATTATTTTCACATAAAAATTTAAAAAGAGGCATATTAAAAATGTAATTATTCATGTATATAAAATATAATTTATTATAAGAAAGTTTATTAACTAAATATATAATAACACATTTAGTATAATTAAGCCAAAAATTGTTTTTATAAATTTATCTTTTTTAACATATAATATAAACATAAATGCTTATATATACCCATAATCACATATTGAAATAATTTTGTAACCTTCTGGAATTGGTTTATTTTTTATCCTTATTATATAAATACTTAATTCAGAAAAATATACAATCATTTCATTAACAGAAACATTTAAGTTAGGAATATAAAGTTTTTAATAGCATTTTATATATATAATACAAATGACTCTATTTTGAAAAACCAAAATAGATAAGATTTATCTAAAGATAAAATATAAAAAAACATATAATTTGTTCAAATTTAATTAGAAATATAAATCTTTTAATTTTATATAATATCTTTTTTGTCATTATTTTACAAATCTTTATCAGTATTAATTTTATAAATTTATATATAGATAATTAATCTAAGCTAAATTTTTAATTCATTTAAAGTTAACAGATTTTATAAATGACTGTTATCTTTATCTTTTATATATTTATATATATTTGTATTTATAACTATTGATTGCAATTGCTTATTAGTAAAAATCAACTAAAAAGGTTAAAATATATAATAATTTTTAATTAATATTTATAAAGAAGTATTACATATTTGTATAAAATAACTGAAAATTTTGAATAGAATTAAAGATAAAATATTTTAGTATTTGTAATTTTGAATCTATATTACTATTTTGTATTTCTTCATTATTACCTCTTCTTTTACTTTTTATTTTTGTCTTTTTTTATCTTTTTCTTAACTCTTTCCTATCTCTTTTTCTTTCTTTATTAGTATTCACATCTATCTTTCTATGCATATAATTTTGTTCATTAGTCTTATATTTATTATTATTAGTAACTTTTACAAATTCATAATTGATTATCAATTAATCATAAAAATTATATTCAAAAATAACAAATAGTATAAATCAGAAATCTTATTAAGAGATATTTAAATTTTTTTTATTTAAAAAAAAATAATAAAAACAATAGTATAACAGATAAACTTAAAAACACAAGATATGATTTAATAAAAAATAATAATTTTTTGATAACTTAATAAAATTAAATAAAAAAATAATTGTAATAATTAAAAAACAATATTAATAAGTTTCAAAAAACATTCTTAATTAAATACAAGACACAAGATTATTTGTTTACAACTACCAATACAATTATCAATACAAGAAATTTTGATTTATTTATTATGAAGAAAAAATTGACACATTATCTTTTATTAATTTTATCAATTCTTGATTTTTATATTTATTTTTATAATACAAATAGTAATTTGGTCATATTTAATTTAAGAAGTGCATAGTGTATTTATATAAATAAATATATACTTATTAGAGTACTTTATATATTTTTAAGTTATGCATTTTATTTTTAATATATAACTGTCTATTTTATCTTTTTTATCTTTAATACAATACTTAAATATTAGTATTATAATAATACATTTTTTGTTTTAGCAATTTTATTTAAATAAGACAAAGACAAAGCAAAATACTATATAATACATTTATTGATCAGCAAAGCAAGGCACTAGTATATAAATACTTGCATATATATACATATATATGTATTTATATATATATACTTGATACATATATATGTATACATTATGTTTATTAATACAGAATCTTTAATAAAATTTTTAGAAAAATTTGTCTAAAAAATTCTAGATAATTTTTTTAAAAAAAAGTTTAATATAAATGTTTAAGAATGCTAATTTTAAATTAGCATTAATATAACAATAATAGTAATAGCATTGATACTAATTTTGGGATTAATGATCTTAAATATTTATATCAAATTTTTTTAAAAAAAATCATCAGCTGTTTATTAGACAAATTTGTCTAAAAATTTTTTTATTAAATAATTGGTTAAGTTTTTTAAATCTTAAAAAATTATGCATTAAAGAAATTGTTACTTATTATGATTTGGCATTTCAATAATATTTATTAAATAATTTTTAAATTCTAGACAAATTTGTTTAAAAAACTGTTTAAGAAATAAAAGCAAATTCTAATTTACAAATAATCTAAAAACCTATTTCTCTAAAGTTAAAATTTAGTAAATATGCATATAATATCTTTTTTATAAAAATACTATTATTAAACTATTATTATATATTCTTAAATTTGGAATTTATGCTATTAGTTTCAAAATTATAATCCTTTTTAAAACCAAAAAAAAATAAAATGTTAAATAGTCAAAAAATCAAAATAAAATTAAAATTAGATAATAGGCCATTTTTCTTAAGAGAATTCAAAAAATAACTATGCTGTGAACAGTTCAAAACATCAATTTTATTAATAATTTTTTTAAATTATATTTTCTTAATAAAAAAATACAAAGTTATAAAAAATATGTATTTCAATAGTTTTTAATAAAGTCTATCAAACTATATATTTTGGTTGAAGAATTTGAAAAAATATAATTTTAAGTTTGTAAGATTTTAAAATTTTCAGCAAATAAGTTTTTTAAATAAATATAGCCAAATATATTTCATTATTATTATGTCCTGTATTGCTATTGACTAAAAAATGATTACACTATATACTGTACTAAAAATTTTGCAGTGGCTTAGCATTTAATGTCTTTAGACCGTTTGCACTATATAAGTATTACATTCAAAGTAAAATAATGAAAACATAATGCTGTACACAAAAAGAAAAATGAAATATTAATAAAATGATAGAAAAGAAAAGCCTGATATTTGTTTTCTAATATAGAGTAGATTTTTTGTATAAAAAGATAATATTTTTTATTTTGTAAAAAGGTATTTCTCTTATTTATTCTTGGCTATTCAATAAAAACTGTCTTAAATATTTTCTGATAAACACAAAAGTGCACTATATTTATTTTATATTATTTGTACCTCGTTTTAGTCCTGACAAACAGGTTTACTTTTACTGTAGCAAGCAGTAGCTAATCTGCGAACTATGTTAGGAAAATACTAGACAAACTATAGAAAACTAATTATTTATCACTTAGTTTTATCAATTTATTGAATTTCATTTTGATTGCAATACAGCTTTCAATAAGCACAGTACAATTGAAGTATTGAAATATGGTATTTGATTTATAGCATTTATTGTATCTTCACACTATAATTTTCTAATTATATTTATATATTATTGGAATTATTGACTATACGTATTACATATCAGTTAAACCAATTTCATTACAATTTCACACAGCTATTTTGTTGACAGTTGGCCTGTTTTATAGTTAAAATCGATTAGAGGTAAATAATTGGCGAAATGACAGCGAATTCTATCAAAAATCTTATGTTCCTTGTTTTAATGTGATAGCATCGCATCCATAACAATTTGCTAGATTTTATTCATATCATAGTTAAAAATGAAAATAGTTAAATACTATATTGCATAAATTACTAATAAACTTTTACATAACCTGTAACTATTTTATATATAATATATGCAAATTCACAATTTATACAAATAAAATAGATATCCAATAACGAATATTTTTTGCCTTTATACCAAATAACCAATCGCATCATTAAACTTCCATTTATTATCCCAAAATCTATTAAAACAAATAATATATCAATAAATACATTTTTGATTTTAAAAAACGTAAATAAAAAATACAGACCCAGCACCGAGCAATCCACCAGCACCTTTCCATGCAGATTCTGGACCCACAATTATCCAATCTGGAATAGGAACACCAGTCCTCTTTGGAAATAATTTAGTGACTTGATCAAGACCTTTATGATCAGTACCAGCTAAAATTAAAGCCAAATAGTCTTGTTTATAAGGATGTAGGAATAGGATTCCTTTAGAGATAAGAAAAAAAATTAATGGATGTCTTTACTAGAACAAAATAACAATAAAGACGTACCACATCCAGAGTCAGAAAATGTTTTATGTTTCAAACTAAAAGAACCGTATCTATTAAATTTTACTAAAAGTAGAAATCCGAATTATTTATTAAGAAATAAATTTGTGAGTCAAAAAAAAAATTTAATTAAATTCTTACCTTCATTAAATCTACTTTTTAATAAAAAACGTGTTACATAATTTTCATATGAACCACCCAACAAGACCAAATTTCCTTTAATATTATCCACCAATTTATTTCCTTTTGTTATAAACTCTGAATCCATAAAAATTTCAGCATCCCCTCTTCCATAAAGGTACCAACTATGTGCAATTTCTTGAGCAACTTCAAGGAATTTATCAATATTATCCTTTTTAATTGTTCCAATAATTATTTTTAGTGGTTGTATGGATTCAAGTATTGCTATTGCAGGACCATAAGTTGCTGAATGTTTTTCTTTTTTGCACCATAAATGATCATTACAAAACTTACAAAACTATTAAATTAAATAGAGTTAAAAATGATAAAGAATGAATTAATAATATTTGAATAAATTAGAAAAAAATTTATAATAACATATTACCTTCCATTTGTTCTTATATTGTTTGAAATGCCCAAACAATAAAACACGACTAATATCAAGTTGTTTTCCATCATGACTAAAGTCAAATTTTTTTCCATTATGACTAAAGTCAAATGGCTTTCCATCAATTATAATTCGTTCTGCATTTAAATATTCAGCTTGAACTTTTATGCTATTTACAAATTTAAATCTACGGATATTGGAGGTTTTGATATGCCATGCTGTTCGACCATGGGGATATTTTTCAATTCGTACATGAAGTTTACCTAATCTAAAGAGAGAGAGAGATGTATATATAAAATAAATAAATATATTCAACTATTAATAATGGTTTAATAATATTTTAATACCTGAAAGGAATTTGCAATTGTTCAATATGAATTCCACATTTACTACCAAAACTTGCGGGGTTCAATAAGATTATAGTAAATTCTTTTGGACATGAATCACTATTATTTAAATAATTGAATTTCAAATGTTCATCATAGAATTCTTGCATAACATCATCGTCCATAACTTTATCAAACCAATGTCCTTGGCCAGGAATTTCAGAAAGTCTATGTTTGAGAAAATATAGATTAAAATATTTCAATAAAATACAAAAAAAAAAAAAACCCCAAATATTGACTACTTGATGGCTTGTGGATCGCCAGAATGTTCGCTAACAAGACGGACAAGCATACGAGAATGTAGAGGTGGGACATTATCATCATCTGAACCAGCTCTTGCTAATATTGGAATGCCAACCTATAAAAATATCAAATTAAATGTATTAGAATATATTCTATATAAATTCTCCTAACAAAATATACAGTACTTGCCAAATTTGTAGTATACAGATCGTTATTATATTCAGCAATTGATGATTCAAGGATCTTTTTATATAAAATTCCAGAAATTTAATGACAAACTACAAGCCTAGTCACAATGGCAAATTAGTAATTTTAACACTCACTCCTTTAAGGATGGGGTCTAAATGAGCTTCACTATTCCAATAATATGGTACATATTTTTGAATCTTAGTATATGCGGCAGCCGGATTGCCTACACAAATTATTGAATTTTAATTAATAATATCAATAAACCAAAATTTATTAGAACTTAAAATTTATTGAAATATACCTGCAATCACAGAATCAGGAAAGTGAGACATAAAAAACCATGCGCCTTGACCACCATTGGAATGACCTTTAATATTTAAAGATAAATAGTATAGTTATATACTGTCAAGAAAAAAAAGATATATATGTGTGTAAAATCAACTAACCAGAGATGAATAGTCTGTCAGAATCTGGTAAGAAAAACGGTTTTAGATGCTTTGGTACACCTGGCATGAATTTTGACAAAGTTATTATTGCAGTTTGAGTATTCTTTAAGCTTGGACCATGCCAATCATATCCCCATGGTGTTCTTCCAGTAGGTAAAAGAATCTTCACACAATAATAAATAACTATAAATGACGGGCAACCAAGTAAATATTTTATTTTATCAACACTATAAAATGTATACCCATGCGCTTTTTTGTCTTTTGTAGGCAGTTATCCAAAATTCTGAATCAGCTTCGACTCCCGCACCATGTAAAGCTACTAAAATAGGACACTTATAAGGCTTGCATGGTTCCGAAGAAGGAATTGCCATTGCTTAGTTTAGATATAGAAAAATTAGCAGCAATTATATTCATGGAAACATGGAAAAAGACATTATTCAAATTCGTAAAAAATAAACCAAAACATCTACCATACTGTACAGTAGTGTCAAAATCCTCGAATGTGAATTTGTATGCATCACCAAAATTTTTGTTATTTATTGAAATAACATTTGTGACTTTAGTCCAATAAATAATTTTGTCTTCTGTTCGAGAAGAAACCAAAAATTGTAATTGAAATGATAATGGCATCCCGCTGAATATTTGTGACTCAATACTTAGATATATTTTGATGTTTCGTTGTTGAGATGGTGCAATACGAATGCCGGTTTTTGAATTACCACTGACTAGTGATGCAGTCATCTATTAGTAAACATTAATTGTTATTGTTAAACAAGTGAATAGCCATAGCTTAGAGAATTACTGTAATGTAATAAATCGAGAACTTACGTTAACGTTGCTATTTATCACATTGACCTTGGAAACAGTGATCCAAGATTTTTCTTGAGTATTCAGGATTGCAACACTGGCAAAGTTTCCAGCCAAGAAACCGTCCACTAAATCGGGAACAATTATAGTGTTATCTAATACCATCGCACCAATTTGGTGCAATTCTAATTTTCGTACAAAACATTGGAATCGAATATTTGAAGGAACTTGGCCACCAAAGATCCGGATTTCATTCACCAGACGAACGTTAATAACATGCATGCCAGAACGAAGATATAGAACATGCCATGAATTCTTATATCCATACACATCACCGAAGAGCCTTCGATCGTCCACATAAAAATCACCAATGTTTTGACATTGAACTAAAACCGGAATTAAATTTAATTCGTCCTTAAAATCAGAATTTAAAAGCTCAAAATATCCTCTTGCCCACATTTGGAACTGATTTATTGCCCATCCAAATGGATCTCTATTAAATTTCCATCTATTAATAATTAAAATTATTTATTAGTGCCATCATTTAAATGGTAGGAGATAAATAATAGTATATATCAGATGAATAATATATGAGTAATATGGTGTTTAACACCATACACTAAGTTTACTATAAATTTAGAGTTACATAAGTTAAGATAAAGATTAGATATAGCGGTTTAAATTTAATTTGCATAAAATTTTAGGCGATAAGAACATTTTCATTTAGAATGCCAATTTTAATTACTTAGTTTTGAAGCATAACAATTATGGTGTTAAACACCAGTGGTGTAATTTATCAATATCCTATCAGATTACCTCAAATTTTTAAAATGTAAAGGACCAATAGAGCCGTCAATGTTTTCCACAATAGTTGACCATTTTACTGTCCCATTATCTGCCAATTCAGAAGGGAATGATTGAGTATCAGAAAAGCTCAAATTTCTGAAACCACCTTTATCAAAGTAATAAATTGATACATTATTTATATGACATAACACAAGAAAACTATTAATTCAAGTGTGCACATAATTACCATAGGCCTCTAAAGGATCCGCACCAAAATCTTGTTCACGTGTTCCAGTAGGGAACGGACCCAAAAGCTGTATAAAAAATTGAACAAATAAGTAATTATTGTATAAGGTAAATTCTTAATATAAGCTAATTAGACACAAACCTCCCAGGATTTTGATAAAAATCTAATCTTAACATGATCTTTAATGATATGTGAAGTTTGGAGAATGGGAAACTGCGTAGCTAATCCTTTCGGAAATAGGAAAGCCGCTTCAAAAATGAATAATAACAGTAATATTGATATTGATAAATAATTAAAGATTTTTTTGGACATCATGTTTGTGGTTTATATTTACAGACTATTATTAATGCTTAAAAATTTGATTGGATCAATTCATAACAGTACAATATACATATTGCAATGAAACTTTATTAATGAAATTACTACGTAGCAACTCAATTCATTCATATAAATGATAAAAGTTGTATGTAGATTGAAAACGACATATCGATATAAAGAGAATTGTAACCGATCTACAAGACTTGTGTAACAAGTCACCTGCAATCTAATATATATATTTGTCCGTATTCTAAATCAAAAAAAGCCAAGACTTTTTGTTTCAAATCTTTTACCGCTAATTTTTCGATCCATTAGAAAAAATGTCGAAGGTTGCTCGTTATTTCGAGTCAAATCAAACACGTGTATTCGTCTTAATGGTAAAAAATTGACACTTTAGGTTGACTAGTTGTTTAACGTCATCCTTCTGAATTAAACAAGCCAATCGCAACACAAAATAATGTATTAAAGTTAACCAATGAGATTTAATCTCTCGCGCCTGAACCTAAAATAATGACATTAAACAACTAATCAATTTGAATGCATTATTGTAATATTAAGTATTTTAATTATAACTTATAAAGGGCCCATGTGGATGTGGCAAATCTTTTATTGGAGAGTTAATCTCTCAAGAATTGAATATTCCCTTTGTCGAAGGTGACGAACTACATCCGGAATCAAATATCAACAAAATGAAATCAAATATTCCGCTTGAAGATTTGGATCGTTATCCATGGTTACAAGCCATTATAGATAAAGTCATAGAATTAGCAAATACAAAAGATCCATCAACTATTTTAGTATCATGTTCGGCATTAAAGATTGATTATCGTAATTTTTTAAGGAAGAATTTTATTGAAAAAAATATTTTAGTTTGGTTCGTTTATTTAAAAGTTGACAAACAGGTATTAAAAGCAAGATTACAACAACGAAAAAATCATTTCATGAAAATGGAAATGTTAGAATCACAGTTTAAAGATTTGGAGGAGCCAAATAACGAAGAGAATGTTTTTACTATAGAAGCCGACAATAATACGGATTTGGTAAAGAAAATTGTCATTGAGAATATGAGTATAGTTTTGTAAATATGATATAATAATTCTTAAATCTTGAACTATACTAAAACTTTATATAAATGTTTCTTCACACACTATAAATCAAATTTTTGATATACGATACTATATTTATATTGTATTGTATGCACCTAATATATCGAATGAACTGAATGTTCATGGTTTATGTTTGATATCGAACTTTAAAAACTTAGTAAGATTAAACTATGTACCAGTGTTGATAATAATTCCTTTTTTGTATGCAGTCAACTATGGATATGTATAAATAACATGCATATAACAGATAAAATGTATATTAATAAACTGATGATTAATAAAATGCTACGTATGAAAATGCTTTTCAATGAAATTTCTAATGAAATTTAATCATGCCAAGTTCAGATTCTTTTTACATAATAATTCTAGCACGTTTACTACAACAATTTGTATTTTCTTGTGAATTTGTAATTCTTATTACAATAATAAGCTAAATTATATTGGCGTTATCTGATTTACATCTATGCATTATTAGATATGTGACTTGTTTTTTTTTTTATCTCCCTCAGCATTCTGAAGGTCCTTAGCATATTTAGGATCTCTCACATCTCCTAAGGTCAGAGTTATCGTTCTGCGGAGATTAACGGATGGCTATTATTCAATCCCTGCGAGTTTACACTACAGCAGAACCGTTAATGTTACACATATATTAAAACTGGTGAGGGATTATATCCATCACAATTGAATCCAATATAAATAATTTAATTTGTGATTGATCACAGGCGAGAGGGATTCACTTTGGATCGGGCACTGTCTCTGCTGTAAGTTTACACACTTCGTTGTTGCGTACGTCACCTGTGGTGTTCCTCAGCCTCCGTGCTAAGTGGTGGTAAGTTTATCACCAAATGTGATATCCGTGAAAGATTCCTGAGCGGAGTCTACAGTTCCCTTTCGAAACGGCCTCACAGTTCTCTTTTCTATTATATTTGTTTATCCTTTTTTGTATTACTTCTAATCTGGGAATCCTTATGTTAGCGAAGTTTCTTGTATTTTAGTATTTTAATAATTCTTGGTTCGTAGTATTTTAGTATTTTAATAATTCTTTGTTCGTAATATTTAAGAGATTTCTAGCACAAATATTCATTAAAGTTTAGCTCATAACAGAAAGCAACTTATAATATTCGATACAGTTAATCGATAATATTCAAAATACCAGGCCTACCGAAAAATTAATTAAAATTAATTTTTGTTATACGTCATACGGTGCAAATCATCTAAAGGCATCCAAAATCTTAACTCCTCAACGAATATTAAAAATTTTACAAAAAAAAATTCGCAATATTGTAGTTCTAGATAAGTTCTACAAAGTTACACTTTTTTTTTTTACAAATTAGACTTATACATCGAAGAGATACAATTTAAAAAAAACATAACGTAATTTTAATGTTGCTTTACATGGCGAAAGTAATCACATCATCGCCATATAAGGATAGATTACACAAATTGTTCATCAATGCGTAATTAGGAAAAAAAAAATGTTACCGTTACATATTCTAGAACAACTAGAATTTCTGTTTTACGCAGTAAACACTATCTCAAAAAAGTATCACACAGGGTGTGTAGGTTACGCCAATTTTCACATCAGGCGTTACAAATTAATTAAGTTACAATTAAGAGATTTTCACAGAATTTGTTGATCATATTTATTTTTTCGTACGTAACGAAAATGATAACATATTTTCTCGATATCAAAAATTCGGTAAAACACCAATTAATCAACAGTCGTGAAAATGTATGATTCCCTACTTTTCATTAATTAAATACTTGAAATTAAATAATATTTAACAGTCGAAAAAGCAACACTAAGTAGAATATAGGTACGTATACTTGTAACTGTTACTATTACTGCAATCTTTGTTACTAAATCAACAAATGCAGAAGTAATATAAGAAAGCATTCTAAACGTATCAAGATCGCATATAATCAACTTTACAATTCAATGTAGTT